GATGCAGCAGGACGATGATTTAGCCATCGGCCAGAAGATTCAAGTTGAATAATCAAAATACTTTGGATCCGTCGGACAGACACCATCAGTAACAACTAACTGTGGGAGAGAACAAACCAGATACCATCTGAAAGTGCATAAGATACACATTCAGGAAATCACCCAACTGCTTCACAAGAAGTGCCCTCACTCTGAATCCTCATGGCTGAAGGAGAAGAGGAAGATCGAAGAACACGTTACGCCAAGTAATGGTGTAGTGCGTCGTTTTATCTGCATGTTCTTAAGCTCAGTTTATAAATCAGAACATGAACTCGTATTGATGCATACGTTTATTCGGGACACACCACAAAGTGAAGCGGAGAAGCAGTGAATAAAGCGAATGAAGCGAATGGATAGGCGAAGCGCATTGGAGAAGGCAAAGAGCCAACTCAAGGAGATATAGCATGAATAATAATATATAGTCAGGCATAAATAAGACAGACATATGACAAGCGAAATAGGTATGCACAGACATGAATAAAAGCGACGAATGATTGACAAGGTCAAAAGCAAGCGATACAAATCATGTGAGTTCATGGGGCAATTAAGAGATTAACATTAAAGCTAAAAGGATGAGTAAGCGCGTAGGCGTAAGCAATGCTCAGTCGTATAAGCTCATAAAAACCAGAAACTAAAAAATACCAATGGTACATATGCGTTGTTGCTATACAAATGGCTTGGCTAAATAAATTAATCGAAAAGGCTTAACCAAGTTAGATGTAAGCGAATGCAAATAAATGTGGAGGCACTACAATGGAGACAGACAAGAGGAGATTAAATAACAATTGGATAGAACTATAAACGAGGGTTCAGGACATGTTAGATTGGAGAATACTGGTCAGTGAGCTATGGTCCATTCAGTAACAAGCGCAAGTAAGTTTTCTCACCATTCTGGGTCGATTCTAACAACATGTAATGCGAACGAAGAGAGACATGCTTCACTAACCCCGAAGCACCTTAGTTATGCTTTCTCTGTTTCTAACACGTAGATACAATAATAGTGGAATATAACAGACAAGGCAGCTGAAAACCTCGAATCACTATGAAGGCCTGAGCTACATTATAGCCACAGCCATTATTACACATCATGTGTTTAAGAGTCATCCAAGCTATCACCGACCAGCTCAGGCAATCTATAAACCACCAAACCTCTCGGATTTTAGGTGTTTTTACGATGTCCCAGTGGCTGCAAGTGACAACCACGGTTTGCCGTGCCTGGCTCTAGTAGGGTAGGACAGTTTAACTTAAGGTTTCTGAGATGTTTGTGGGATTTTCTTACAACCTGTGCCTAGTCTAAAGTTACCCTCAGTGAAGAGGGTTAACCTTTCATTAAATTCTGACCCTTAAACAGATGCCATAGTTTTACCAGCAAACTTCTCTCTCAAAGAATTGCGCAGTTTTTATCCCACTCTTCTTTATCAAAGATAGCCCTACTTTCTAGTAAGCTACCCTTCTATCATGAAACAGCAAGTAAGTTTAGTGAATTTATCTGACGTCCTCGCCCCTAACTGGTAGCGTTTTAAGAGCTGTGGTACAGCCGTTTCTGTTCATTACGCTTACCCTGTGCCCCGTACAGCTAGCAGACACTGAGGTATTTACAATGACCGGTGATGTCGTCAGTATATGTCTTCGAGTTACGATTGCATCTGTCGCCTGTTTATTCAACAGATTGTTGGATCAACTCAGCAAACTGAAACACGGACAGGAGTGGCTTGACGCGGACCCATGATACTACTTCGCTACTGCGGTATCATAGTGACAGTGAACCTATCCACTGCAGAATTTACACACAAGTGCAGAGACACCGGTTTTGACTGGCTACAGGCAGGCGTTAAAATCATAATTTTTATGTCTTTTCCGAACAGTAGGTTGCTTCGTCTGCAGTTTTATCCTATTTATTTTTCTCCTACTGGTCTTACTATGAATAGTAATCTGGGAGGAAGTGTCATCTTGGTTTTTCTGCTGGGGACCCAGTTGATGTGTTTAGTTCGAGTGATCACAGTTATACACATTACTCTGAGGTTAGCTATTCAGTGTCGCTTTGAGTTTTTTCACAGTCCGGTTACTGGAGTCTGGGATTTTTGACTCATTGCTAATCCCGGAATTTATACCTCTGCCAGTTTTCCCAGTTGTCATAGTGTATGAACTTGTGGCAACACTATAACTGCATATTACTCGACAGACTAAAACACAGACTGCGAGATAATTTGAAGAGAGAAATACGCGAGACATAGGTTTAGAAGGAGGAAAGTAATGATGATGAATTGAATGGATGCACACTGCGCAATAAAATAGGACCTGAAGGACACTCAAAATTGTACTATTGCCTTTATTGTCAAGGATCTCAAGCCCAGTTACACAAGAAGCCAAGAGTGCAGAAGTTCGGAGATACATTTGGCAGATAGTCGATATATCTAGAAGAATATGGGGCTAAGTTGACTAACAGTGGTCAGAGATATACGGTACTATTGGTTTTAAAGATTTAATAGCTGCTGAAATCATGACTTACTCAGACTAACTCCCACCGGACATTAACAAAGACCAGGGTCTGAAACGTAAAAATAATCAGTAAGTGAAGAGAAATGAATCGATTTATGTGACCTCACTACAAAAGCCTTGAAATTTGCAAACATAATAAGACTAAGTTTTTTCTTCTTTCTCGTTCAAACCATTAAGTTCCCAAAGCAACTTGCCACAGTTTTCAGAAAATCCCGGTTGACTGAGCAAGTACGATACGTTACCAGATGGACTAAAGATAGAAAACCATCAAACTTGGATTATTTGTTAACAGTTGATCAGCTTGTCTTCCAGGAAGTCCATGTCCACACACCACTAGGAAACGGTGAGCGTAGCGCGTCAATGTATAGATTGTTCATAAACAAATTACTCAAAGAGGACGAAGACGGGTCCATGGGGGGGGGCATCTTCTACATACCCGTGGCCACGAGGATTTTAGAGATTAACAGTATAGGATCACCAGGGAACAGTCAGAGACATCTACCTCAGGCCAATCACACCTGGAAATAGAACGTCGGATAGCAGCAATGACATGCTACAGTCGAAAAGGAGAGCTTGGAACAAGTGGAAGGTCTCTCTGAAGGATTTCGACCATAACCAGAATACGGCCAAACCCCAAACATCACGACTAAAGGAAAAACCTTTGAACCAGTATCTTCATGTTGTCGAAATTTCATATGGCGGGGATCTTACCAACTCAGAGATGGCTGGGGTCCTTACCACCAACTTCATCGACCGGTTAAACACATTACCTACAAGCTCAGAGTACTGCTGAAATTTATTGACAGCTGATGGCCTACGGCATATGCTACTTTTGACCTAGTTATAAGAAAATTAATATCGATGCGCCCAGGAAAGTCACCAGGATTTGACAGTACTCACCTAATGGTCTTGAAACAATATGCAGAAGGCTCAGCTCACCTGTTTGTGACCTGTCCAGGCATTCAATGGAGAGGCACCAACTCCTAGATACATGTAAACAAGCTACTCACTTCAGTCTTCAAAGGAAGAAATAGGAAATATCCAGTGTCCCATATCCACTGATACTGCTACCCATACTACCTGAGGTAATACGAGGATTGGCCAGCGAGGGAATGAGGGAGTACATGGCTAAGAACAACGTCTTCTGTGAAGCGCTATACCAGTTTAGGAAAGTCAGATCGTGCGCATCCGATCTCATACAAGTTCATATAATGTTCCATGACATAGGTAAAGCTTTTGACGCACTGTACCAAGTATTCCTAGTAGGTAAGGTTGTGAATGTAGGATTTATTGATCCACTTCACACTCGCTTCATATACTACTCTGAAAACAAAAGGTTTCGTACCAAAGTGAATAGAGTGCATGGGAGCTAGCAGGTTCCAACATCTGGATTTTCACAGTGGACCGTCTCGAGTTCACGCTTCTTTCTGGTTCATGTTATTGATTTGTTAGATAAGATAAGCCCAGATTCGTTATTCTTTGCAGATGATCGAAGATCCGAAGGTATATAAGGAATGAAGACGATTCATTCAAGCCACAAAATTGCATCAGAATAATAGATAAAATGGTAGCAAACACCGGGTTAAAATCTAAGCAGTCCAAATATCGCGTCATGAACATTCTGACCCCAGCGACATAAGCAGTTCACGTCTTCAACGGAAGTCCTCTTCCTAATGTCTCCATAGAGGGCGATCTCGGTTTAATAACCATAGACAGTTTGAATACCACTCCAAAATCTCGTAAAAAGGGAAACAAATTTCTCGATTTAGTGCAGAGATGAGCAACTTAATGGGTGAAAGTGTTGAAGAATAAACCTTACGTAGATACTTCAGCATTTGGTATTGTTCGTGCTGAGTCGTAGGAGTATCAGAGGCGATCTAGTTATTGCACGCAACATATTAGATATGTCGAACCACTCCAGAACATCACAACTCCCATCAAGGTAACTCTTAAAGCACTGCAAATCGAATGGTGAGAATTCAGGTATGAGCCAACTTTTTTTGATTAATTATTGTCTTTGCTCTTCCAGTTGAAGTGACCACAGCCCGTCTGTGGATAGCGTCAGGAAGAGTCTTGACAAATAAGTACTCACATAGAGATAATGGTTTCCCGTCTGGACCAGCTGTAGCTGATGCATGTCTCGTAACTTTCATGCTTTTATACTCATCAATATCTCATATCATTCACTTATTCCGTCTTTCTTATTATCATCTCTTTTTCCTGTTCACTGCTTACATTTCGTAGTTCTCACTCGGGAACTACCCATAAATTAACTTATGTATTTATTCATTTAGTTTGTGAAACATTCGTCTTCTGTGCCTTAGAATTTTCTCTTCATTATTCTGTACATTGCAACCAACTAATCACCAGTCTGGTTATGTGATAGTTATTGGTATTCAGAAACCCTGCTTCTGTCAAACGCGTTCACTCAAACCACAGGATGTATAATTTCATAAATAATTGCCAAATGACTGAAACCAGTGTGATTGAGTTGTTTGAGTACCATTTATCGGAAATTACTAAATAACTTGAACCATACTGAAACAAGAAACGAAAGCAAAGAAATATATTGGTGTACACTAGCTCGTGAAGAAGATATTGGACATGGGACATCACAGATTTGAGTAATGTACAATTATGAGTCGGATAAAATGTGCAACAGATCTGGAGAAATCAGCCATAACAAACAATTTCGAAGCACGTGGTTGGGTAATTGTGCATCCTGACGAGGACTGGAATATTTTTTGGGCTTCTGTTCAAAGTGTGCACATAATCTTTAACAATGACACATCATATAGATTATCAGATAACCAGGTTCTATCAAAAAATAAATTACCCTAACTAGTTCAGATTATAAACCACTTTCCGAACCATTTTGAACTTACCAGAAAAGATCTAATGGTCAGAAACATTAAAAGGTACAGACGCGAATTGGAGAAGGATGGGAATCCGTTTGCTGTGAAAGATGAGACTGGGAGGTATATCTTCTTGGATTTTATACCCGTCACTTATATGCTACCTCAGGATTACAATCTATTTGCAGAGGAATTCAAACGTAATCCCTCTTCTACGTGGATAATGAAGCCTAGCGGGAAAGCCCGTGGAGTTGGTATTTTCTTGATCAACAAACTCTCTCAACTTAAACGTTGGTCCAGAAATGGAAGATCAGGCTTGATTAGTGCAGCACCGATTTGCAGAGATGCTTATGTGATATCTAGGTATATTGAAAACCCATTGCTAATCGGAGGTAAGAAGTTTGACCTGCGTCTTTACGTCCTTGTTACTTCGTTCAGACCTCTCAAAGCATATGTATATAAACTGGGGTTCTGCAGGTTTTGCACTGTAAGGTATAACTCAGATGTCAGCGAGCTAGACAATATGTTTGTCCACTTAACTAACGTCTCAATACAGAAGCACGGAATTCATTATAACAGTGTTCATGGCGGTAAATGGACAACAGAGAATTTCCGCTTGTGGTTGGAGGGAACGAAAGGGAAATCTATATCAGACAAGCTATTTGATGAGGTTCATTGGATAATAGTACATTCCTTGAAAGCAGTTGCAAATGTGATGATAAACGACAGACACTGCTTTGAGTGCTATGGTTATGACATAATAATAGACGAAAATTTTAAGCCATGGCTTATCGAGGTAAATGCATCTCCGTCTCTGTCAGCTACAACAGCTAGTGATCGCATTTTGAAATACAAGTTAGTGAACGATGTTATTAATATTGTTGTACCTTGCGGGACGATGCCGGATGTCAAATCCAACAAAAATGTCACTAAAGAAGGAATGGGACAGTTTGATCTACTGTATGACGAGGAGAAGGCATTAGTAGAGTCTCTTGGAGTTACTAATGCTCAGCCGCAAAAACATCTAAACTCTTCCGGAAACATTCCCAATAATTTTTATCAAACTGGACTACGCGGAAGACGTATAAGTCGAATGGGTATAGCAAAATGAATAATAATAAATATTATATTGTATACTAAGCAGAGTTTTACATGTTCCTTTGTTATCTGACAACACACTTTTACCAGTTTCCAACTATAAACCATTATAAGATACCGAAAGAATTAAAATAATTGATACGAAACTGGAAATTCTCACTACTAAGATAAAACTCGTCCAAATGCAGCTGAAGATAGGTATAGAAGTCCACTTGTTGGTAATTATTGGAAACTAAAACGCAGCTGATTTTAGCAAACAAATCACGTTCTTCAGTGTTACTAGTGATCTGAGAAATTTTAAGAACCAGTCAGATTGTGTACAATCGTAAATTCGAAGTCAGGGATACAGAGAACAAATTGTGTCATAGTAAACACTAACTGACGTTTGATATCATCTTTCATGGACTTAATAAAGTAAACAGTTGGGGAGTTTTGAATTAAATTCATGAGTAAACAACGGTGTATTTAGTTTTATGCGGTAAATTTAGGGAAAACTTTAAAGATCGTTTGGAACTTGAAAGCCTAGGCTAATTTACAAAGTACTTTGAAACAACAAATTAGTCATCTATGTGGATTGTGTTTACTTATAGTACAAAAGGCTTATAGAATATTCGCAGTAAAACGAAGTACGGTTCATAGGATAGACAAATTTATTCACAAAAAGCCTAAGACTCATTAATAATATCATAGGATAAATATCTGGTAATCGATCTGTGTGATTTCTTAATAGCTCTTACCTCTCCATTAGAAAAACTAGATCGACACTTTAACGCTGCACAGCCATTCTACAAATAAACTTGCTTTTCGCTGCCTTTACGATTTTTATTTAGAAACACTTGAAGAACCTAAGTTACTGTGGTGCATTTAGCATTAAACGAATAGAGTTACATAACATTAGCATTGCAAGCTGTTAATCGAAGTTGCCGTAGGTGTACAAGTATTTTTGAGTTTTCAGGCAAACCCTCTTGTTGAGTTCTAATGAGCAGAAACATCGCTAACAACGCAGAGCCTTTCTGGTCTTATCACGAACTGCGTTAATACTGGCTAATCTATACTAAAAACCCCATAGCATGGCTAACACGATGCTATACACAATAACGTTAGTCATTCTATCTTGACTAAGAATAATTGGAATCTATAACCCCATAACTAAGTGGAGTTTTCGGACACATGATCAGGAAATTAAGTGGTTTTCAGATTGATTGTAATTCAAAAGACATGATTATTCCATAGGATTTTATAACATAGCGAAAGTGTGTAATGAATGCTAGTTAGGTCATAATACGGAGTATAAATACAAAAAAAATAGTTTTGCTAGCTTTTAGTAACTTTAAAGGCTGCTCCATGACCTGGAACAATGTAATCAAAATTGTCGATAATGAATTCTCGGCTTTTCTGCTGTATGCTTATATTGTTACTGGACGACTGCCATAAAGATGGATCGATTGTATCTTGTTCACATTCAAACAAGTCGCCCACTAAGGCAACACGACCGAATTGATCAATATCCTCTGCAATTACCGATATGTCTGTTAGGGTGTGTCCAGGTGTAGATACTATGTGAATACAAGAGTCAATCTCATAAGGCGTTTTGAGAACACTGAAGCAGTCTTTAAGACCTTGAACCTCGTAATTCTCCCCAACAATCCGAGTGGAATTCGGAAACAGGTGTAAACTTCCAATATGATCAATGTGATTATGCGTACATACAACAAAATCAATATCATGAGGATTTATTGCACGAGATGCAAGCTGAGAAATAAGCCATTGTGAATCCCATGGACTACCAGGGTCAATAAGGATCAATTTAGGTCCTTTTAGCAATGATATAGTACATGCAGAACTAAAATATTGATTTGAAATATTCTTTGTCCACCCAATACGAATAAAGTCAACCGAGTATTTCATTGATTATGTGATAAATAACCACATTGAGTCTGATTTCTTGGCTGAAAATCAAAGAATAAAGAAGCATCCATTATAATGATAGCTTCCGTAAATGTATATCAACAGCAAAAACAACACACTGCACTGAAGGATGATGAAGAGGTGTTCAATTTAATTTAATCAATTAACATTTTCACTTAAGAAGTAGATATACATACAATCATTGAGGGAATAATATAACAATCAAAATTTAGATTGACAAAAGATGGAGTTTTATTCACACGAGTTTAGTCAAAAGAAGTGAATAAGGCATTTAAACAAATACTTGATAGTGTTCCGTGAATGAGGCAAAAAAGCGCAACAAGTACCGTTAGATTATAATGATGATAGATGAATTATGTGATCCCATAAATGATTAACTAATATCATTTTCACATACTTTTCATCCATGCAGATAGCTTATATCGTTAGGTTACTCCTATTTAATGTAACAAAGCCGAACATGCATCTCTGATGAACACTAACAAGATAGAGTAAAACACAAATATGCTTCAATATCCAGCATATGCGAGTTTATTCGACTCCAGGAAAATCGGTGGGTCATCCATTTTCTAGCTATTTGGAAACCATTATTTACACTTTGGTCCAACAGTGATTGATTTCAATGACTAAGACCATAACCTGGTTATGTCCAGTTTTTTTATAACTAGTTCTATTACAATTAGTATTTTAATTCAAGGGAAACTGCGGTTTAAAATCTTATGACGCTACCCACTATATTTAACAGACATTTAGCACCCAACAACTGTATTGGAAACCACCTAGTTCGGTTATTTGTATGCAGTATAAAGAAGACATACGACCAAATATATGCAACCTAGGCATGTTATATTCTACACATGTAGGGTAACAAATAACTGGCAGTAGTATAATGTGTAGAAACAGTGTGGTGTTGCAACAAATTCTTCTCTCAGAAGTTTGTGCTGACGTTGTTCAGAAGAACAATAGAAGCTCCACGACAAAAACATCCAACTCAGAAAACGAAATACCACCACAATCATACGCCTGAGCTACAAATTTTGTCCACCATCTCAATAGTCGTTTTTGACTGTATTCCATATTAGACATTGGCATTAGGCCAGATGATATTGGGGAGCGCATGAAGTTTGTAGGCGGATACTTAGTGGTTCAGGCGTCAAACTTTTAGCCATTAAGTTCCACATCCGAACACCACTGCGCCTTCTTTAGTTTGGGTCACCAGGAAGTATTAGTGGCCTCACATTTTTGTGTGAGACATACCCAAGTACCTATTTAGTGAGTTAATTTGATTAAAACTAGCTGATTAAGTTTACTATAATCCACTATTCTAGAACCAAAAATGGTATAATCTATCCCTATTTATAGTACCTGAAGTCTGCTTGCTTTCATGAATTCGTATTTATTAACTATTAATCGAACTGCCATTGTGTTTACTGAAGGATGATTAATCACCTTCCTTACGAGTTATGCTGACCAATGAACGTATATGGCGTGTAAAAATTATTCTGAAATTTCATACCAGCCAACTTAGTAATTCTTGACGGCTATTTTTGAAGGATTATAAAATCCAAACCGTTGAATTATACCACTTTGCTGTTTCAAATCGGTCACGGCGACTACGATGACCTAACTGTATTTTAGTTGAATACTGAGTAACTAAATCACTGGTTTACACTGGTTGAACTGTTCTCTTGTGTTTTGCTCAAATGTTTAGCTTAAGGCACTGAGTTTACAAGTGAAACATTCACCAATAGTCCAACCACCATGATGTCCAGATCAACAACTTTGTTGAATCTAAACTACTACTTATTCTGATGACTAGTAAGATAACCTGACTGCTGTGTCTGAATTAGGTGGAGGAGACATTAAAAATGGTCGTCCAACCATTGAGCTAAACATAAATCAGCCTCGTCTTGTGAAGAAAACGAATTCTGCATGATCTGATATGTTGCCACTGGGTAACAGATTTCCAAGATAATAGTTTTTATTAAAAATCTTTAACAGATGATTTGCGAGATCTGTGACAGTAATGAAACTATAAAGTGTAACGACCCTTTGGTGCTTCTTTCTAGTTATCGCTATCGACTTGCCTTTTGATATTATTCCAATTACTATTCTCGTAATTCTACGCTAGTGGTCTAATATCAGAGATGTGAGATAGATTCAACAGACAGAAAAGGACAAAGACAACGGAAATTTCAATCATTATTTCTCTGGACAAACAGAAATATCAACGTAAAACAAAGATGCAGCGGTCCCATAGAACAGAAAAGAACTCACCAAATAAATAAGTAAAGATTTAGCCGTTATCAGGAGATTTCAAGTATTTATCCAAATATGCTAGTTTATCTCAATTATTAGGAAAGTCGAAGGTACGTACAATTATAAAGACAATATAGACTATCAGTGTTTCCAAGTTACAGAAATGTACTGGGAGTATTATAAACGAGTAAGTTAAAGTGCTAAGTGATATTGAAAGGATTAGAGTTACGATAACTCAGCTAGTGACGGCCTAGCGTGTCCATTTTTCTTGATTTAAATTCAGCGGAAACTAAACCATAATTATGTTGTTTACCCTTACTAGGGCACTTATACGCTAGTTTGATGGGCATGGTTAACATGACGCAACCTAGGCAATAACATTAGGAACATTAGTGCCAGTAGTTTAGTTAAGAGCTCAACATGATAGAAAATTAGTAAAACTGACAACAGAGAATTTTAAAATTACACTACCTACATGTAACACGTGACTGGAAGATGAGGCTACAAATTAAGTACAGCATTTGCAAACACCGCCTCTTTCGTGAGTGTCAAGAGTGTAACGCATTCAAAATCTTACGCTACCAAATTCGAGTTCAGATTATCAGTTTGCCTTGTTCTCATACATGTGTTGTTTCTGATTGATTTCGTAGTTAAATGTAAGTGCATTCTGTGTAGTTACTGAGTCGTTGGCTCACTTTTTCTCTTGTTCTTTGCTCTCCCAAATGACCTCACCCTCAACAGACACCATACCATCAGGTTAGCCACAAACGAAGTATTGAGGTGGTTGAGAAAATTGTTGTTCAGGTGGATGATTGTGTTGGAGTTTCGTTCTCTGAGCTAGGGGGAACGAAACTCCATCACAAGCAAGGTAAAATATTTTGCGAGTACTTTAATATCAGATGGACATCTTGATGCAGGTGCAGATTTACTTGATGTTTACTTTTACAGGACCTTGACGAAGCTGCAAGTATTTTACAAGCTCTGTTTATAAAACTGAACGCGAGTCCTTTTTCTAACTTTCATAAGAATTTTCTTATAGAACTGCACAAATCTGTTGCTAAATTTGTTAATTTTACTATAAAATTGGTAGCTGTTTGCATCTGTGATTATTTCTTTTCCTGTTGCTTAATATCTGTGAAGTTCAACATTTTAAACCGATACACCTCAGTACCATTCGCAACTTCTTTTTCATACTTTTCGTATCACTTCAGGAACGCTATGGTATCGAGATTATGTTTTCTATGATATTTTTCTACGAATACGTAACTGTCATGGTTCTCAGTACAGAATAATGCTTTTCCATTAGGGATACTTATAGAAAGAATAAATGGAACGTCTAGAGATTGTAAAGTTTAGTGTCACTCATTCAAGTAGACCTTTCCTGGCTCCTTCACAGCTGTAAAAATTGGTTCCACACTCTAAAATCTTTGCCTGTTCTATATTTTGGTTAGATCACATACATCGTATTAATATTAAAAGTAGATGAAAAATTAGTCCCATTATCATTTTGACAGGCTGATTTTAACTTCTCATGGTTTTCAGTACATGTAGTTATTATCAATAACTCATTATTTTAAAAACCTTATAATTACCTGTGAAATGGTGGCAGCGTAAATTTCATCTTGTTCTCTTCTAGATCAATGAAGCGTCCCCTAAAAGCTATACAACCCACTAATGATGAAGAGGACGATTCAGGAAACTTTAAGAAAGGTTATTTGTTGAAATTACTAATAATTTAGCCGTGCAGTAATCTGCAAAGGTAAAGCACCAGTCGATGTTGCATGTGTCGCTAAAGTCAATTCAGCTTATGTTTATTATGAAGGTGATGATATTTACGACGTTATGTTAAATCAAGTAATAAAAAGTATTGTTTTTCAACAATAATATGGACTCCTATTTTAGACTAATGTCCAAAATAATAACAATAAATATTACATCATACAGCTCTTAAAAGACGAAAGTATAAGCAATTATTCAGTTTGGTTTCGCTGGGGCCGAGTTGGTAAACCTGGCCAAAATAAACTCGAAAGTTTTGGTGGTAATTTACAGGCTGCTAAGGATTGTTTTGAAAAAAAGTATGTTGAAAAGTTCCCATGGATGTAAATTTAATTAAATAAATAGATTTTTTGACAAAACACTAAATCAATGGGGAGAAAGGATGAAGTTCATAAAACATAAGGGGAAATATGATATGGTTGAAATTGATTATGGCGTACAGGTTAGTCTTTAGTATAGTTTTTATATTGACTTTTAAGGATAAAAAAGCAATCACAAAGAAGAAGAAAGTTAAAGAAGTTAAATCACGACTCCCTGTTGCACTTCAGGTAATTCCTATGTTAACAATTATTCTATAAAAATGGCCGTTTTCTGTAATTTTATTAGTTCTTTGTAAAAAATATTAAGTGTAGCTTATAAACGTAATGCAAAACCACAAAAATACTTTAATCCAAACTTTTTTCTGATGAGAAACCACGAAATGTAATAAATTCGTATTATTCTGCCTCAATTGTTGGTCTTACCTTATTTAAATTTGTAAACGGAACCAATTTCATGAAAGATTCTGGCTCAGTCTCACAGTATGGAGTATGAATTCATAGCTCTGATCAAAAGTGTAAACTAAGACCCGACATTTAGAATACTTGAATTAAAACTTCACTCAGCATTTAAACGACTGTTTATAGTTATTTTCTCAAGCCGTTAGACTGAGTGATCAAATTGCAAAGACTCATACCACTCGAATTATATGCATGAGTAGTAGATCTACGACAATCAAATAGTTATCAGAGAAAGGCTAGTTTTTATTGAGTCCATTTTACCAAGTGTTGAATGTAAATATGCCATGGATATGCAGAGTTGGCCAATTCTTTTTTCTATAACACCTTTCAAACCGAGATTACCTAAAGACAAGTCAAACCAGAAGTCAGGAATGAAGTAGTTCGAAGGTATATTCAAATGATTGGTTGGGATGTCGAGGAGTTAGTGAATTAAGCTTGCTAGTTGGTGCGAAGAGATGCGTTGCATAACGTACCCAACAGTGATCTGATGTGAATGCGTGATGGAGCGCCTTTTTTTAGTGTCCATCAAAACTAATGAGTCAGCATTAACGTGGAAGACTTACAGGACCGTTTTTTTGGTGCTACAGCTCACTCTCCCTAGTGGAGTAGTGATCACCTTATGGCGCAATCAACCAGAAGTTGAGACCCAACGTGCACGATTTTGGTAAACACTTCTGATAGCTTGCTTCGTCCAGCAGTGTCTAGTTGTCTCTTTACTCTGAGGAGGCGTGTCGTACATTACTTACCTACGCCTATTATCCCTAGTGGAGCATGGGCTTCCGACCGGGGTTCTCCATCCATCTCTGTCCTGGCCCTTTCTTTCCAATCCTATCTAATTGCTGTTCATTCATATCCTTCAATTCTCAGCGTAATGTGTTTTCTGGTGTACCTCTTCCCCCTCGGTCTTGAGGATCCCAAATTAGGATTTTACTAGTGATACAGATGAGTACCTTTCACAATGTTTCCTATCTATCTATAGCTCATTTTCCTGATTCCTTTCTCAGCTGGAAGCTGATTTGTTCTCTCCCACCAATTCCCGAAACAGAGTTTACATACTTTAAGTTCTTTCTCCCGGTTAGTGCGGTTGAGAAAATTTGTTTTCAATGGGATGGGGTCTCTAACCCCACACTCCACCCTCCTATACTCGGGTTTGGCACACCGGCAGTAACCGTAGAAGGGCTGCAGGCGGAGTTATATGGTACTTAATAATAATATATGTATAAATGTACGACGACAAAGTCAATTTTTCGCGTTTACCTTCCGTCTTTCCCAGTCCTAAAAATGGGTAAAATGCAAATGTGGGTGTTTGTTAAAATACATTCATGATTATGTAAGCCAGCGAAACGTGCAAAACTAAGGACTAGTGTATTTGCGTAAACGTACTATGCGACAGCTAGAAATATAACACACAAAACGTTACTTTGTTTCTTTTTAAGTAATTATACTCATACAGGCATATTAAAAATACATCAACCTATTTGATTTTAATAAAATACATGGGAGCATATGAAATTACTTGCTGGTTTTCGACACAACAAAAATTCAAGATGCAAAGAAAGAGTTGTGGAACGCGCAAAAGCTAAAGAAGAGATGTGCTTTTAATATGCCCTACACTCAGTAGTTGTTAAGATGCTCTGGAGATCGCACAGATCTTCCAGAGCGCGTCGTTCTAGGTCGTTTTATGGAAACGAACGAAGTTTCGTTGTGGTCGTTACTGGTCGGAGATTGTATTGTAGTTGTGGGGGTTGTGTCCTTCGTTTGCATGTTAGGGAGGTCGACAGAAAATGGATTTCCTTCTAAATAGGCGGCTTTAAGCCTGTCGATGCTGTTATTTTTTTCAATCTCGTTCGTATCAGTCGTGTAGTACGTAGGTTCGCGATCAAGAACTTTGTAAGGTCCTTTGTATACGGCTTCAAGTGGTCGATGCAATTGGTCATGATGTACGAAAACGTGTGCACCGAGTCATAAGGCGAGTTCGACAAATACATAATTTGCTTGAGGTCGAGTAGAAACTGGCCTGACTGAATGCATTATATTTTTAAGCCTGCTAGTGTGGCAGTTGGGATCTACATCCGCTGAAGCAGGTGAAAGATCTATGAATTATCCCGGATGTCGTAAGCGAATTCGGCTTCAGTCCATCCAGTAAGTATCCCTAAATCTTAGCTATTCAGGAGCTAGTCGTTGAGTTTTTAAGAATGTAGGTGGTCTTGCAGTCTTAAAGGGAAGTGCAACACTACCTAGAATTCACTGTAATTGCAGTCGTATTTGGCACCTGTCGAGTATTGGTTGAAAGAAAGGACCGAATTTTTGTAAAACTATAACCAGGCATAACCTACAACCTGAGAATGAAATTACACAAGCGGGTAATTCAGTATTACCGTCTGCATTAACACATCTGCCACAACAAATAATTAGTGAATAGGTTTGCGTAAACCCTATGTCAAGTTAAACACATCTTTTTCCACTGGTGACGATTGGTTTTCCGATTGGAGATAAAAATCCGGATCGCGTGAACAATCGTTTGTGTTTGCTGGAAGGACGCTAGCCTCTGCACCACTGTTAGCGAGATAGCAGATGAACTACTTGGCTGACAATTTCTAGGCGTACCTATCATATTTTCTAATTTCAGTCGATCCGAATGTTCAACGTCAATTTGACCTATCATTCTTGTTTGATAATGTCTATGTAACATCAGTATTACTCACCCGGCTATTTTACCATACGTGAGCAATGGTTTGAATAGGTAGCTGCAGGCTACTAAACTATCCCTTTGATCCATCATTTTTATTAAAGAATAAATCACCGTCTGATTTTTCAATCTAACTGTTAATCATCTTAGCTCCAAAGACATAATCAGAGTAGATTTTATTCTTTGTAAAAGTTTTCAAAAAAGCTATTTAAGAGTCTGAACTGGATGGAACTTCTGAAGGAAATTAGCTCACTCAGCCAGATTGAGATCAGAATTAAGGAAAAGGAAAATATAATACTTTCATATTATATTAGCTGACAAAAATAAACCTGATTTTATAGAAAACGATGATCATTTTAAGTACTGGTTACTAAAATGATTTGTTCGCATATTGTTTTGATTCGTGTAAAGGCTCTTTGCTATAATGCTATATAAACCTGTAGCAAGCAATTTTCTTAACGATGATTGTTGAGGTCATATAAGTTTCCCTATCCTGAATCGTATATCTAACACTTCAGGGTTTTTATAGTTTTATTTGGTAGACTGAGTTTTATTTCTAAATATTTGGTATCTCCCTCATTTGTAGAGATTTTATTTAGTAGGTTTCTTGAATGTATAAATGTACAGTCCACCGTATCAGGTTTATGCTGTATATCAGAGCTTCGACTCATTATTACTTTCCCCTCATAAAGTTCCAAGTACACATTCTAAAACTTGCACAAGTTTTCATTACCGATTGATCTGTTAAGTCTAATTCAATTTCATGTTATGTAATTATTCGAGATATACTTTTTGAAAAATAGTCAGTGAATATTTTTCTCATATTTTCTACTACATATTACAAAGAATTCTTACAAAAATAGTATTTTGTATATGATACAAGTATTCCGGTGGATAAACCACCCATTATTGTAATTTCTCATAAAATTTAACCAGCGGTGAATGGACCTCAATACTAACTATGTCGATATATTTGATTCTTGGGTATCTAAAATATCATGCAAATCATCATGTGCTCACTAGCGACATGCTCAATGAGGAAGTTTCTCCGAGTTCTAGTCAGAGGTCGTGACCAGTGAAATTCTACCCTGTTCGAGTGTGAAGCAGTGCTCACCGAAGACAGCGGGTGAGGTTGCGAAATACCGTAAATTGATCTAAGTTAAATATGAACACCGGTAAATGCTGGCTCAGTGGTCCGGAGGTTAGACATTCGCACACAAGACTGAAAGGACTGGGTTCAGTTCCTGCGAGTGGCAGGAATCGGGGCTGCGCACTGCTGATGAGTCCCATACGAAGACGAAACGGCCGTTCAGTGCTTCCGGGTTTCTAATGGTGGTTTAACGTTCATCTATTCATTATTCCAAAAAGTGATGTTTCACTGACTTTCCCATCAATTTGTGTTGAATGTGTAATTCTTTATTTTGTAGGCGCTCATAAAATTGATATGTGATTTTACTAATATGGAACATGCCATGACAGAACTAAAATATGATTCACGTCGTGCTCCTCTAGGAAAACTTAGTCAATCACAAATTCGTGCAGGTTACACAGCATTGGATACTATATCGAAAATGATTAGTGCTTTGTCAGATTTAAGTCAAAATGGTGATACAGCAACAGAAACTAAATCAAGAGGCCGAGGAAAACGTGTCGTCAAATCGAATGCAGGTGATAAACGTAAATTTGAAGAACAATTACTGTTGGCCTGTAATGATTTCTATACACGAATTCCTCATGATTTTGGGTAAGAGATGGTATATATATGTAACTATTACAATTCGCAAAAATAAAAAAAACTGAATTGATATGTTGTATAGTTGATAGGTTTCTTCTTAGATCTGATATTTCATAAGTAAGGTTCTTTTACTTTTTCGTATACTGTGAATATGTGCATGTTTATTGATGCTTTCGACTGAGTATTGTTCTTCCACTCTTTGTGTTCTCTCTAATTCTAACCTTCTGAATTCCTCATAATCTCTATTCTTCTCCTTCTAAATTTATCTCACTGAATTATACTTCTCGAATCATATCTTCGCTCCCTGATCTTCTCCATTGCTGCTAATACTTCTATTATGGCTATCACTGTTGGATTTGAACTGACAGTTGCGTCTCTGTGCTGATGTGGTATGGCAACCTGAACTGATGTACTTACGTACGAAGTTCTGTGTTGTATCTGTCTGTCTGTCTGAGCATTGTTCTGGCAGATAGATTCGCTTTTCAGGCAAGCATGTTTAAACGGAGCAGGAACAATAAAGTTCGCAAAATAAAATGAATTCACTATATTTCACTGTTTCTCCATACTTTAGTTTGTGAAGTTGAGATAAATGTTTGAAACGTAATCAAATTCGTAATAGTTAGAAGAAACGATGAAACTTTTGCGAAGTGTGTATAGTAAAGAAATATGGACAGGAAAGTATTTAAACTGTAACAACTTTTACTCTATTGCTGACAAAAGGTCGTCTAATCAAATCGCACTTCAGTAGAGCTAGAATGTTGTGTTCAAACGGCTAAATAAATGAGAAACTGCTTGTTCTAGCGAAATAATTCATAAAAAACCGAATACCCTGAGATATTTATTACGAAATATGAAAAACAGTATCCCAAACGACATTGCAACTGCAACACATGCTTGATACATCTAGATTGTTACGCTGGTTAGGTCTATATAATGTCCACCCGAACGTATAGCGCTAACTCTATTCCCCAATGCCATTTGTTCATTTTAGACCATGTGATTCTTACGTTAAAATCTTCACTACAATGGATATTGGTACCGTACTCTCTACCTTTCATCTTGTCAACCTCCCCCAACTGCTCTGATATGGTGTTTTTTTTATAACGTGGATCCGACCATACATTTTATCCCGATTCACGTTATTTATAATCAAGTTGATAAATTTAGTTATGTATGATATCTTTATACCCAACGATTACAGTTATTTTCCCGACCGTATCTACTACCTTGATGTGGTGGTCGGGCTTGCCTACCGTGATGACCCAACCGGGCTATACTGGCTGTAACATACGTTCCCTTAGGTCCTACCATGCCAGGCAGGTCGATTGGAGAACGTTAAGACAAAAAGCGGCAACTTATGGTCTGAGGGCGGAGTCTTACTGGGGGGTGTGACACCAGTTGGGAGGTGTCTCCTTCGGAAAACCAGCATCTGCAGCGATGCTGCCTTCTCACAAGGAATAAAGGGGTTAGAAAGAATCCATCCCGAAAACTGTCACACCTTACTCCACGGATTTCTGTCTCTGTTAGTAAGGCTATTTGAAGAGAGAAGCTAACATGTTAACTTCTCTTTTCGAATTTATTTTACTGGATTATACTTGTTGACTAATATCTTCGAACCCTAATCTACTCTCCATTACCGCTAATATTTCTACTACTGTGGAATTCGAGCTGACAATTGCATCTTTGTGTGCTAATGTGGTATTGGCAACTTGAACTGATGTGTACGTACATGTACAAAGTTCTACATTGTAGCTGACTGACTTACTGTTATTTCGATAAAAGATAGATGTTGACTGTGTTTATGCATTTGTTTTATTCTCTACCTAAATTTTCTTACATAGTATGCGTATACCACCAGTTATTCGTACAATGCCTGAAGTGAAAGCAAAAATTGAATTACTAGAAGCATTATCTGATATTGAATTTGCTGTAAATATTTTGAAAAATAATCAATCATCTACTCAAAATATCATTGATGTCAATTATAAACGATTAAATTGTGACATTCAACCTCTACGATCAACTGATCCAATGTATTCGGTAAGAATACAATTATAACAATGAATGAATCCATTCATCTCATTTCATTGGTTAATTTTAATTTAAAGGACATTGTTAACTAGGAGGTAGTCTGATGTACTCTGTATCCTATTCCACAACTTACTAGCAGAAACTAGATCATTATAAGTGAGATATGATTATGTAATCACCATTCACACTTGACTGATTGTATAATTAAACGGAACACAGCAGATGAGGATGATTTAGGTTTATTTGATCCATTTCTAAGCGAGCATTCGTAGACAAATCGATTCATGTTCATCCTATGTGTGTGTGTGTGTGTGTGTGTGTGTGTGTGTGTGTGTGTGTAGGTATAACAATCCGACCAAAAAAGATTTAGTATACAGTCATATAATTAAGTAAACTATCATTGATCAGCTAAAACTAACTTCATCTTACGTAGGTATACTAACTTGTTCCATGTTAGTTATATGTGTGACGATATAGTTGTATGAGATAAACCCGGGAAAAAACACCTCTTATATCGTTGGGTGTGTTATAATTCTCTCTTTATTACAACCCAGCTATTCCTAATGCTTAGTATTCTCGGACACCAATTCACTCGAAACGTTATCCCAAATCAGAACACAGTTGAACAGGAAAAGAGATTCTATCCCGATAACAAGGTTAAATGGAAGTAAGAAGCTCAATAGGAATTAAGCTTACGTTACCTTAGTGTGTGATTGTACCAGTTAGAACTAAGGGCTCTAGACTATAAATAGAAAAGAAAAAGTGGGGTTTTAAAAAATCGTAGCTGAAATTCTGACTGGCGAACTTAGCAGGTGATATTGATTAATTGATTGCTCAGACAGCAGTAACGGATTTGATACAAATGAAAGGTTATTTCCATCATGTAGTATGCCAATCTGAACTGATGTACGTACGTACGAAGTTCTACGTTGTAACTAACTGACTGACCAGAGTCTTATGGAGAATGATGTGGGGCATACTGATAAACAGTTCCAGCTTGGAGAGCAGAACATTGTTCCTTAATTCTCAGTGGTTCTTTATTTAAATTCTTCACAAGACCACCGTTGTCAATAACTACCGACTGATTGATAAGACTATAAAAAAATCAAAAAGAAAAAGATTTGACAATGACCTTAACACCAACTTGTATATTTGATTCGTATAAAATATATTGTAACCGAGTGCCATAAATAGTATGCACTACGTTTTGAATAATATTTGTATATGTAGACTGGGATGCTTCCAGAGCATTAAAGCTGAAACAGGTGAAGTTTTCCAGGAGGACCACTCCTCGAGCAGTAAAACAACGTCATTAGATCTTGTCCCATTGTTAGCGATGATCAAAAATAGATCCGTATGCAATTCGTTCCTCTAGGGTCCTGGATCTAATGGGCGTCAAAGGTTTGAAATCATAGTTGTTCAATTCCTCTAGGCAATTCCTTCTTACCCACAAATTTACTGACGGAAGTATTCAAATAGTTAACGAAGTTACACTGATAACTATTCCTTATGTTCAAGCCAAAAGTCAGCAGATAGGTAGGCATTGAAATGTGAAATTAAAATTGTTTTCCGGAATCCAATTCATTTCATTATACTCTTCCCATTACTTTGAGTAATTGTTCTTTTTCTAACTGGGGATTTTTTTCTCTCTCGTTTATTATCAAAGTTGTTAGCCGATTACATGCATGAAACACATGGAGTCACTCATAATTGGTATACATTGGAAATATTAGATGTATTCGAATGTCGAAAATCTGCGGAACAAGAGAATTTTAAAGATTACGGAAATAGGTAATTGAAAGAAGAAGAACAAAAAGAAGAGCTATTTCACTGTTTTTTTTTTGAAATTTTCATTGAGAGGCAATTTGTTGTGGTATTTTGGTTGAGAACAAGTTACTAGGCTTCGTTGTGATTTTGTAACACATCTAACAGAGATTTTAGTAACTATGATTGACTAGCTGTCTTTTACTGTATATATTTTGAAGGCATGCAGTCAGAGGATACTTTTTTTGGTAACATTGAACAAAATCACACTACCGACATTCATTTGAATTCACTTCATTAGATGAAGAATTTTCACTAAGCCGTTCAGATTGTAGCATAAAACCTTGACTGATTCTTAGCAGTACTGATAGAAAAAGGGATAATACTGCCCCTAACTCAAGTTTCATCATATGGTCGGAAAAATGAAAATTTCGCTATTGCGAGAAAGACGTGTCCCGACATGACACAAAGGGTATTAAATATATTTGAGCCCATTGGCTTCAAACTAGGTTGCATCTCTTACTACCCTATGCCATATGATGTATATACCATGAGTTATATTGCTATATAGAACTGGTTTCCCTATGAAACTAGAGGTTTGTTATGAACATTGTGGATGGTTTGGCATTATTTATTTGGTAAGTTTTGCTAATTGTTCATATACAAAGGTAATAAAAATGAAGCGCTGTTGTGTATTATGGTCAAGATTGTCGAAAGGTTTCAAGCGTAAAAATATTGATTTACAAATTGATGGGTGTTATTTAGATTTCATTGATTTTTCAAGTATTCAATAAAAAGAGGTTACATTATTCAGCAAAGTTATCGAAAACTATCAACAGCCCGCGTAATGCAGCAGTTTTAATATTCAATCATAGATGTTTCCGAAGCATTGCTTGAGATCAGGTAAGCAAAGCTGGGGTTAGAAAAAGTGTACTAGGTAAGAATTGTAAATCAATTGTTGAAGTAGTGAATCTTCATAAGTTGATGTAATTGAGACGTGTCATGTTTGCCTAGCCACCGACTACCTTGACCAGCGATGTTATCCAATGTGGGGATAGGTTGGAAGAAAGCTAGAGATGGCCAAACCTAAACATAAAACAAATCTACGAAGTCACTAACAACTGGACTGAGCCATGTTAGCTGGTGTAGACTACCAAAATGGGGTCAACGAGACAGTGATAACCGGTGGTTAGAGACCTCAAATTATGCGTCTCATGATCGCTTGCAACGGCGCAAATTTATCCAGTATTTGTCTTCTTTTTAATTCTAATCTTCTGACTTCCCCATGACATTTTTTTCTGTTTTTGTATTTATTTCACTCGCTTATACTTCTCAAATCATATATTCAATCCTCAATCTTTTACATTACTGCTATGGGATTTGAACTAAAAATTGCATCTTTACGTGTTACTGTGTGGTATGACAACTTGAAATGATATATATACATACTTACCAAGTTCTATATTGTATCTGACTAACTGATTTTAACAATTCAGTATGTAGTTTTCATTGCGCTATTTAGACGAACTTATCTGTTTGCCTTAAAGCTCTGTTACAGAGATGGAATAGATTTCGTATCAATGACACTTTTATTATATTTCATAAACTTAACTATCATTTAATAATTTACTCTAGCCATAATTTCAAAGATGAATACTATAGTTTAGTTATTTATTTCATTCATGCATTCACTGATAGTTTCGTGTTATTCTCATTATAGGATGCTTCTTTGGCATGGAAGTCGTCTAACTAATTGGGTTGGTATTTTAGGAAGAGGTTTACAAATTGCTCCACCTGAAGCTCCATGTAATGGATACATGTTTGGTAAAGGTGTATATTTTGCTGATTGTTCAACGAAATCAGCTAATTATGTTTATCCAACTCAAGCTAACAATGTTGGACTTATGATTGTTTGTGAGGTAAATTCCTTGTTTTTTATGACCGAAAACAAAAGTGTTGTAATTTGTGTAAGTATTAAAGTACTTTAAAATCATGAGTCGATCAATGTTAGAACACTATTAGAAACTCGGAAGCTCTAAACGGCCGTTTCGTCCTGGTATGGGACTAATCAGCAGCAGTGCGCATCCGCGACTCCCGCCACTTGCAGAAACCAAACCCAGGACCTTCGGTCTTGCGCGCTAACGCCTAACCCTTTTGACCACTGAGCCTTCAGTGTTAATATCCAACTTCAATCAGTTCACGGTATTGCACAACCTCATCCACTGTCTTCGGTAAGCACTACTTCACACTCGAACAGGGTAGGACTCCACTGGTCACAACTTCTGACTAGAACTCGGAGAAACTTCCTTATCGAGCTAGTCACTTGTAAACACATGATAATTTGCATTATAGGGTCGGGTAATATCAAAGTTAAACATTGACACCGTCGTATACCGGCTCAGTGATCTAGAGGTCAAGCGTCCGTGTACGAGTCAGAATGTCCTGGGTGGAATTGCCGTGTCCTGACATGGATGCGCATTACCGATGAGTTTGATACTAGGACGACACAGCCGTCCAGTGCTTCCAGGTTTCTAATGGTAACCTGACAATGATCGATTCATGATTTCAAAGTATTTCAACCATCTTAACAACCCTATAGTGTATTAAAGTAATCAAAACCACGTAATTACAAATTAAGGCAGGTAAAATCGGCATTAATCCGCAATCCGGCTTATACTGAGTACATTCAAAATAAAACGAAACAATTCATAAATACTTTCTTGATTTTAATTTGTTTTACAGCCCCTAATGAAAACTATTATCTTGAACTTCTGATCACTTTGGGCAACAATACGATTATATTTGGTTTGTATTACCTTCGCTCTAAACATAAAATATTGCTTCAATATTAGTTTGCATCAACGCCTAGACTAATGACCTAGTAGAAGTACTTGAGAATATTGACCACTTTATTCTCATAAACTCAATCGAGTTGGTATTTGATGAAATCTTTGCACGGATTTACAAATTGTTGCTGCTCTTTTTAGCTATTGTCACTTATGGTATATTTGAGGTGCGCACCTGTCAATGCATACCTTGCAGCAGTCTGTTCTTTTATAGTTAGTTAATGGCTGACAAAGGTGATCTGCAAACTAAAAGATATTCTTTGGTTACTAGTATTCGATTATGTAAATTTTCGAAATATTGCTCAGGTATAACAGAATAAAAATTGGAGCAGTGTTGATATCTTGCGTTTGACTAGTTAGTCATTCGCTACCTCATCTCATAATTTCGGCTGCAATAGATTCAGTCGATAAAAAAAGATAAACACCTCTCATAAAATTAGTAACTGTTATATTTTTTTAAGTGCAGACTACCTTATTGACGTTGTGATCAATTTCATCAATGGATATATAAGATCTATCTAGGGCAGTTGGAACACTGTATAAAAACCAATAGTGCACATGAGATTCAGTGGGAAGAAATGGCGTACGAACCCATTGTTGGTAACCAGCTACCGTGAGGTCGCTCCCATGAACGTTACCCCCACTATCTGGGTCAAACGCTCAGATATTGAGTGACCCCCGAAGAAAACTACCTGCTTTGACCTGGGCACCCAAAAAGTATCCCAACTCATACACAAATTCAATAATTTTTATTTATCGGTTAAGGCGTTCGCGCACAATACCGAAGGTCCTGGGTTCGAATCCTGCGGGGTGCAGGAGTCGTGGATGCGCACTGCTGAGGAGTCCCATACCAGGACGAAACGGCCGTCCAGTGCTTTCAGGTTTCTAATGGTGGTCTAACATTGATCGGTTCATGGTTTCAAAAATGTGTAACTTAACAATCTTCACAACCCCGTAATGCAAATAACAAAGAGCCTTGACATTGTTGATATAATCATGTACTTGGTAGATCTAATCCCTTATTTTAATTCAGACTATACTAATTACTTTGAATTTCCTAATCTGTATTCAAACAAAAATCAATATCCTTTTTATATTCTATTCCATTGAAATTATCATAAATTTTCTATATTCTTATTTTTTTCTCTCAATAACCAAAAGGTGTCATTAGGCAAACAACGAGAATTATATCAATCATGTTCTAATGCACATGAAAATCTCACTGATTATCACAGTGTAAAAGGTTTAGGCAAATGGCGAACAAATCCTGAAACATGGAAAACTTTGTAAGAAAAGAAAACAATGTTGTTTTCTGCTTTGCATATATATACATATGTTAATTGATTTCAATTGTTTTTTTTTGTATAGATGTTCATTTGAAATTTCAGATTAATTAAACATTTTTCTTTTGTTACTCTATGCTTTATCACAACATTGCAAGGATTGTTAAGTGAGTAGTGAGTACATCACGTGACTGCTAGTAGTAAACTAATTCATTGATTTTCCAATTTTACTGAATAGGTTTCATCACATTATGTAAAGTTTGTTTTTGTCTAAATACTGAAGCTTGATGTAATTCATTCTAGATGTTATCGTTAGTTAGTCGATGAGACACAACGTGAAACATGGTATTTATTGTGTAATGGTTCAAGTCGTCGTTACATAACTTTCGGATAGTGAAATAGAAGTGCAAGAAAAAATAATACTTCTCCCAGACGCCCCTAGTACTGCCGAGAGTGTCGAGAGTTTGCTCTTTCTTTTTCTCCAAATGCTCTCATATGTCCATGCGTATATAACCACTTTAAGAGAAATCCTGTTGACTGCCTTCTTGTAGCTGGGGTGTTCTTTACGAAATTGTGAGGATGAAAAGCGAATGTCAACTGCTCTAACCGGGTCAGTAGACACGGAGAATCCTTCTACATCACCTGGTTCCAAACAACTGATGCACAAATACTCCAGGATCCTGAGGGAACGAGTAGTGTAAGAAGAAAACATTGTTTGTCGCGGACTACCATGGGACTGCACCTCCGAACCTTGTCCTACTGCATTGTGGATTAGATTTCTGAGTCAAAGGCCCGGGGTATGGCAGCACTAAAAAGACCACTTGCTTCGGTTTGGGCGTCTAGTCAGTATTCGAGCCTACTTGCAAATTCAATAATTTATGTGGTGCATCAATGTTTAGGTTCTCCTTCGTAACAATGTTTCTGTTTAAATAAATAATTGGTGCAGTAGAAGTAGTGTGATTTTCAGTGATGTAGGACTGTGTTAATGAAAATTATTGAACCATCGGGCTTTTCCGATGATGAACTTCTTAGGACGGTAACTAGCACACAACAACACTCCAATGTTAATCATCTACACGTTACCACGTTACGATAGATCTTTCTGATAAAAGTAAAAGATTGAAATACATGGGCTCTGTCTATATGGTGGGAATTACTAACCCTCGGGGGGGGGTTGCATAACATAATTAGCAGACTGAAAATAGCATCAAATAATCACAATGGTTGAGTAGGAGCAACCAAGTCAAATATGTTTGTCATTTTTTGAAGTTATTGGCTCTGTTAGTCTGAGCTATGTTGGTTAAGTGTAGACTACATGTTTGGAGACTGAGAGATACCTGGAATCAGTAGTTCCAGACACTTTGTAACATGGTTTAAAATTGATCATATTGAATGATACAGTGGCATTCACTTTTTTTATTATTTCCTTATGAATCTTATGTTGCAGTGTTCCCTCATATACATCATCGTGTTATTCATTATTGAACTGAATTCTCACTATTTTGACATTCTAACTAATATTAATGAGAAAATGTTATTTCGATTTTTCTGTTACTCATTTTGTGAATTTCATCTCATCGTACTCGATGTAGTTTTTATAAATTGAACTAACCCACACGCTAGTAAATTAATTATAATTGACTAACTGTCATTTATGTTTCCTATGTCAAGTTTGTAGTAGACAATATTTTCGTGAAAACATTTAACTGATAACTAAACGACAACACATTAAATATTTTTCATTATAAAGTTATGAAGATTGTTGTTTATTACTGAAATTCGAATAAATCTTTTGTGCGTATGACCGAAGGTCCTGAGTTCGATTCCCGCGAGTGGCAGGAGTCGTGGGTGCGCATTGTTGATGAGTCCCATACGAGGACGAAATGGCTGTCCAGTGCTTCCGGCTTTCTAATAGTTGTACAACAGTGACTGATTCACATTTCAGTAATACAGACAGTTAACATACAGTATTTTTTGGTAATCTTTTTCAACAATATTTTGTATTGACTGCTTGAATCTTCTCAGTGATGTTTAGGACTAAGATTGACCAGTCTCTTTGAGATACATGCATTCTATGCGGAATGCCTCAAAATTGTAGTAGAGTTGGATAGTTGCTAGCAGTGGAATCATGAACTCGCATTTCATTCTATTTGGGACTTGTCAGCTAAATGTACCTGCATCTCAGAGTCGAGGTTCACTCCGGCAAAATTCAAACAACCACTACTTTATTGCAGAAGCAAGTTGCTATCTGGACTCAGTAGCTAAGTGGATAAAAAGCGACGGTGTTTGAAGCAAAAGGTATTGGATTCGAGTCCGGGAGTTACCATCACTTGTGAGCTGCAGATACATCGAACTATAGATGAGTCTCAAATAGAATGAAATACGCATCTATGACTCAACTGGTAGCCACTATTCACCCATGTTTAATTGATATTTTGCATAGTTTCATTCTTTCACCAATTCTTCTCCTCTCTTCATACTAGAGACGATGGTGTTATAGTACCATGTGGAAAATTAATTCAAGCACCTGAAACTGAAGCAAATAAATGTGTCTTACAATTCAATGAATATATTGTTTATCGGGTCAATCAAATTCGTCTACGTTATTTGGTAAAAGTCAAATTTAATTTTAATCACTAAACTCTACTATCTCGTTCTCTTCTCTCTCCTCTCTATGTCAACAAAGATTTCTATATGTGTTACTGTTACTGTTATTGTTTTATTTATAACCGAATTTTGATATAACTATTTTTGATAATAATTATTTTTTTTTTGACAATTATATTTTATTTTTTTATTTTTTTTAAATAAGCGAGATAAGATTCAACAATTATTGTATATTTTATTCATTAATGAAGAGAAAAATCTATTTGTTTTTTTTTCTGTCAAATAATAAGTTTTAAAGATTCCCATTGTGAAAATTAGAACAACACATATAAGCGAACAATATTGTTTTCGATTAGATCGTCATCAGGCTTTACTCTAATATACATGAATATTTATATGAAAATGTTAAACCAATCAAGGCAATTTGAGTGATAATCACAATGAAATGAAAAAGATTACGTAACTACATCTAATAGATAAATCTAGATCTTTTCGGGTGATCTATCGTATACCTCCATCATTTCCCAACGGAGTTCGATCCCGTCTCCTACACATTGCAGAAGCCATAGGAATACGTACATTCAACCCTAATTTATGTGTTCAGAAGAAATTCGTGACACCCCTATCTCTTCCGTGGCCGGATATGACGTAACTAATGATTGACATATTTTACTTTTATTATTTTTGATTTATTTTATTTTATTTTATTTTTACACATTTGCTTATTACGTAATGTTTTTGACGTTTTTGATGATTATTTGAATTCTATTCATCCACCCTTGACCTACTTTAGTTATCATATTTTACAAATTTTCTTACTACTATCAGTACACCTGTTTTCCTATTATCCACTTGAACTTTTGCCTATTAGATGTAGTTACGTAATCTTTTTCATTTCATTGTGATTATCACTCAAATTGCCTTGATTGGTTTAACATTTTCATATAAATATTCATGTATATTAGAGTAAAGCCTGATGACGATCTAATCGAAAACAATATTGTTCGCTTATATGTGTTGTTCTAAATAATAAGTTGTCAATTTTATCGTGTTTTGTTATATGAGTAAAAATTTTTTTCTAAACAAATTACAACAAAAAACAGACTTTTCTTATTATGCGGGCCTATTGATTATTTCTCTCTCTACGTCATCTATAGGATAATAACAGGGCGATCAATGAACGGCATTCGAACTACTTCTACTTATGCCTCTTAGGCCACTGACCAGCATTCTCCAGCCAACTTTGTCCTGGACCTTCTTTTCTAGTTCTGTTCGCCCGTTGTTCATTCTTCTGCGAAACAGTGAACGGTACCTTGTAACTTATTATGAATTGGATGAAAACTGCCTATACTTAATTCCTAAAATATTTAAAATTAGTGGAAATATCTATTATCCAACCTAACTGTGAATGTAACATTATACTTAAACTCAGCTACAAGAAATAGTTGTTCGTGATAGAGGTTGTGTTTCAGATTACTTGCTGATGAGTCCCACACTAGGACGAAACGGCCGTCCAGTGCTTCCAGGTTTCTAATGGTGATCTAACCATGATTGATTGATGATTTCAATGTGCGAAAAATATGACCAAGTACCTAGTCAAAAGTGATTGTATTGCTGAATAAATAGTACTCCTCCACTGTAGTTCCTAACTTAAAATTCCAAACCTAACTCTCATTAATTTGTAAATGAAAAGCTGCCCGAATATCACTACAGTATAGATGCTGTCAGCTAGTGGCGATAACTCATAACACTAGATCAACGACTAATACATAACTTTAATCTCCTTTTTCTTTTGCGATAAAAAATTGATTTGACATGTACAAGATTCATTAATCATATCAAAATTATTTAGGCAATTTAATTTTATTGTAGCAATACTCTTCCCTGATTGATTGACTCCATAAACCTTGAGATTCATGGATATTGTGTATCTAGCTTTATAGACATATGAATGAAGGAAAGAACTAGTATTTCAATAGTTTTTCCTGATCAGTGTAGCAATCAAGTTGAGTTATCTGCAGTGACAATATCCAAATTAGTGAAATATCTAGACTTCTGTACATATTCTTCTAGAAGCAGTATCTAGATTGTAGACAGCACTAGTCAGTCAGTCAGTTACAACATAGAACTTCGTACATAAGTTCAGGTTGCATTAGCACAGAGACACAAATGTCGGATCTAATCCCATAGTGGTAAAGATTGTAGAAGTATTAACAGTAATGGAGAAATTAATCAAGAAGTATAATTCAGTAGGATAACTTTAGAAAGAGAAAGGTAGAGGTGATGACGAATTCTGAAGGTTAGAGTTTGAGAGAACACAAAGAGTGGAGGGCGCCATTGCAAACGATTTTGAGCCATGTCGTTCAAGGTCTCCAACCACCGGTGACTTTCGTCTCGCGGACCCTAAACCAGGTAGCCTACATCTACCAACATGTCTCAGTCCACTTGCCAGTGTCTTCATGGATTTGTGCCATGTTTTGGTTTGGCCGCATCTAGCTTTCTTCCAACCTGCTCCTACATCACAAAACATAGCTCGTCGAAGTAGCCGGTGGTTGGGCATTCGTAACACATATCCTAACTACCTCAACTGATGAGATTTCAATAATTCATCTATTGATATGCCATCCTTACCTAGTAATCGACTCCTAACTATAGTATTGCTTACTCGGTTGTACCAGGATATACGAGCAATGCTACGAAGACACCTATGATCGAAAACCAGTAACCTACGAATATCTTTTACTCTGACTAGTCATTTTTCACAGCCATAAAGTAAGACGAAGCGAACTGCTGCACAGTACACTCGTGCTTTTGTTATCAAACGGATATCTCGCCTGCGTCATAAGTGACGCAAGTTGGCAATAACCATTGCTGAGATTTCGTCAGTCACCAGGCCATCAGCACTGATGAGACTCCCAAGATAAGTGAAGCGGTCTACAGTAATAAATAGTCACTATACCATTTCGTTCTATCTCTTTATCATCAGTTTATGTCCATCATAGTTTTTTCATCAAAACTCAATAGCCATCTATCTATCTATCTATTCAGTGTTTAAAATTCAATCTTAAAAAAATACTCTATTCGGATTATTGCTACCCAAACTGTTTGAATTTTCAAGGTACCGTTGCTCATCGGTCGAAAATCTAGATTTGCCTGTGTGTTTAATTCCTTCTAAAAATGCCCATGTACAATCTGATTTCAGTTATTCACTTCATTTTCATGTGTTTAGATTTTTAACAACAACTTTTCGGTAGATTTAATATTCAGTTTGAAATCATAACGAATAATGCTGTTGTTTCATATGCACATACAATATCCCTAAATGTACATAATTCACATACTGATTACATAATTTAGAATTGAAATGTAAATTTAATTCAGTATTCAATAATGTGAGCATTTCAACTTGATCAATATTTCTAGTTTATACAGAAAAAAATTACGCCAGAATCATTCTACTTTTTAGTGAAGATGAATTTTTTTTAAATGTGTAATACAAACTACTTATGACTTGAAATTTGTATTTTGATATATTAAAATTTAAAATGAAAAACTTAATATTTGCAAAATATACTGAAATTGTGAGATATATTTCATTACTTCCCCTTGAGGAAAAATGTCACAAGGAAACATCTTAGGGCTCTACTCAATGATAATAAAGCTAAGAATATATTTCAGGAACAAATTAAAAACAGTTAGGCGGCAATGTAAGTGATTCTCATCCGAAGGCTGTGGAAACAGCAGTGATATCTGCTAGTAAGGTAAACTATAAGGACAGGAAGGAGTCGTGGATCTCAGTAGCATCCACCGAACTGATAGACACTCGTAAACTCATCCCACTTGGCTCTGACCATGGTGAAGAGCGAAGTCAGCCTAGGCGCAGGTTGATAAAAAGCCTATGCCATGATCGCGAACGGTCGTGCGTAGCAAAAACAAGAGCGATGGAAAAGGCAGCGGCGATAGGCAAAAGTAGACAGTTGTTCTTATCGAGGAAACTAGTATAAGGAATCCATCTGTTAGCGAAACTTTCTCAGAAAACGATGGCTGTATCATTCATTTTCAGCTCAGGAGATTGGATCGATGGGCAGAACACTTTAGGGATCAGTTCAACTGGTCTTCAGCCACACTTCGGTTGCCCACGATCTCCAGTCATCTTGAATGGCCGATTAACCCTAGTACTACGACTCCTAATGAAGTTAAGAAAGTTATAAGAAATATGAAAAGAGGGAAGCAACAGGTCCTGATAGGCTAACTCCTGAGATTTTTAAGTATAGTGGCTCAGTGTTAGCAGTAAAATTGGCTGAGATCGTCAGTAGAATATCGGAACGACGTAACCCCATCCGACTGGTCTCAATTCCTAATTGTCCCAATTTATAAAAAGGACAAAGTTTTGTGACAATCACAGAGGAATCAGTTTAACTAATTAAGTATCTAAAATATTGGCCCAAAAATACTCGGACGCCTAACTAGAAGAGCTCATGAAGAGCAGACTAGAGAAAACCAAGCTGATTTTCGACTTCGACGTAGATGTACAGACCACATTTTCACACTACGACAGGTCCTGAAACACAGGCAAACATTTCGGCTTCCGATAGTAGTTGTCTTCCTGGTCCTTAAGGCGGCATTCGACTCTATCAATCGGAAGGTTCTCTGGCAGTGTCTGTCATTAAAAGGTGTACCAAAGAAGTACATTAACCTTATACAAGCTATCTACTCGAACACTACACGTCGAGTGAGGGCTTATGGCGAACAGTCATAGGAATTCTGTACTTCAAGTATTGTCCGTCAGGGCTGTCCATTCTCGTTTAACTTTGTCATAGACATGCTTTTAGATTGAAATTATCCTCGTCTGACCTTTCAGGTGTCGACCTTCTACTAAGAGACAGGCTTGTTGATTTATAGCATGCTGATAACACAGTCCTATTCGGTGAAGAGGTGGCAAAATTCAGAGCCTTCTGACTACCCTAAGCAACAATGCATGTTCGGGATGCGGTTCTCACCCTCGAAATTTTGCTTCAGGATTGGCTTGTATCAGTACCTAAACTAGTGATAGTGAGTGAAGTAGTGAAGCGTGTTGACTGCTTCACTTCTCTCGGGAGTCTCATCAGTATTGATGACTGACGAAATCTCAGCACGGATGCATTTCGCTCAGTCGTACTATACGGATGCGAAATACGGACGGTAAGAGTTCAGGATATTCGTAGGTTGCTAGTATTCGATTATACATATCTTCGAAGCATTGCTCGTACATCCTGGTACAACCAAGTAAGAAATGCTGTTGTTAAGAAACGATGATGAAGTATTGAAACTTTATCAGCTGAGGTTGTTCGGACATGTGTTACAAATGCCTTATCACTGACTACCTCGACAAGCTATGTTTTGTGATGGTTGGAAGAAAGCTGGGTGCGACCAAACCAAAACATGGCACAAATCCATGAAGAAACTGACAAGTGCACTGAGTCATATTGGTAGATGCAGGCTATCTAGTTTGGGGTTTGTGAGACGAAAGTCACCGGTAGTTAGAGACCTTGAACGACATGGCTCAAAATCGTTTTCCATGGCGCAGATGCATCCACTTTTTGTGTTCTCTCAAATTCTAACCTTCCGAATTCCTCATCACCTCTATCTTTCTCTTTTTAAAGATGTACTTCTTGACTAGTTTCTTCGAACCCTAATCTTCTTCATTTCCTGATATGCTTGAATCTGTTACGAGTTCCCCTTACTTGGTAAGTGAGAGCGAAGACATAGCAGGCCATTCTAATCCGTTGTTTTAGGCCCTGCTATCTATATCAAGAAGTCTTGATAAGGCATAGAAAGTGCATTTCACAAGCACCCAGAGGTTGAGGTTATTTATACATGATAGAAATGTCCTTGATAGGGCCATAAAAATAGCGTACTAAAATAATATACCAACCAGTAAAAGTCAAGGATTCTCTGGGTGGGATATGTAATCTCAAAGTCAACTGATTAGCCTGTGCGCAAAAACACAAAAACCAAAATTAGGACCTTTTCCAAGTGAGGTCGGGGGATCTAACGTTCTCAACATTACCGGTAATACTCCTTTTATCTCTACCATTATGGGATTTGAATTGACAGTTGCATCTCTGTGCTAATGCGGTATGGCAACCTGAACTTATGTACTTACATACGAAGTTCTACGTCATAATTGACTGACCCTTCAATGACGACGCTTCGCTATTCAACGAAACTCATGAAATACTGTTGACATTCAACTTATTAAAACGATAACGACTTACTCAGTCAATATTAATCATTTATCACATGGTAAGAATCATTTGTCCCTCTTTTGAGCAATGAACTGAGATATATATCAAATAGATCCGTTACTATAAAATACGATATTTTGACAAGCTAAAACTTACGAATATAGGCATTAAAACTCTTATTCTAACTTGATATCGCTGATAATCAATACATTTGAGGATGATACTGTACACTCTCTTTTTGAGCTTCAACTAAATAACTAGATATGTTTCGTTTCAACATATTTGCACGGCGTAAATAAAATTTTCAGACTAAAGATGAAACATTTATGAAAAGCAGTTAAGTTTTTTAGTGCATTTGTTAAATAAGTTGTTATAGCTTATTTGAGTCATCAATTATCACAATTGAACGAGTATTTTAGAAAACGAAACCGATTTTCTGAATTATTATTAATCACAATTTTACTGTATACTTAAGCTTTTGGTTGACTGATTAACCACTGCTATACGATTTTGTTATGCTTAATTTGTTGCCAGTCTATTACTTGTAGTCCCTTCTATTCACAGCCTTTTTTACTTGGTCATGTATAATTCTTATTCGTTATTTTATAGAGTGATGTGCTTTGGTATGTCTGTATAAAAACCTTGTCTTTTTGAAATATAAAGATATAGTAAAGACTACTTATTACTACTAGATTCAAAGTAGCATACAGTGAGGAGTTAACGAATGATGGATCAACAGGAACCTAGCTAACGACACAAGATAAGTAGTGGTGGACAGATGTGTAATTGGTCAGTCAGAGATACAAAGCTATAGATAAACAGTATAAGAATCGGGGTTCTGATTGGTCACTGAGTACGTGATACTTACTGGTTAGCGGTCACTAGACATGACATAAATCTTTATTACAATTGCTAGAATTAGCTGACCGCAAAGAGCTATAGAATTAATAAATGATTAGTATCCTAAAACTATATATTTTGAACTCCACATTTACATGATCTATTCACAGGCCGAATATGCTCAGTTTTATTAATAAATAAATATAAAACTATCTATTAATTAATATATAATTATATTTACAATAAGAAAGTATTATTTGTCAACTATAAAATAAATGTTCTTCGACTTCTACCGATTTCTGTTCGTTTACGAACCCATTCATAATCACCATATTGACTATCAAAGGTGCCTAATTGAATTGAACGTAATTTTAGCGTGAATTTCGGTCCAACTTCATTCATTGTGATTTGATCAGTATTAGTTTTATCTTCATTGTCATCAATACCAGTGGTATTAGTTTCACATCGATGTATATAACGATAATGTCGAAAAAAAATATAATCTCTTTGATTATGAAAAACAATTGTTCTACTATGTGGTTGTGGTGATAAACGACTCTCATTAGGAAATAATGAACTTAGAATACGTTCAGTACGTAGACCAAGACGTGTCATAAATCGTGTAGTAATCAAATGTGGTGTTACATTCGATTCAATATATTTGACTTTTTTAAGAGAACGCATTTCACGACGAAGTAATACATTAGTTAGACGAAATGTAGCCGTTGGTCCATTCGGTAGATGACTAACTACTAAAGTATTGATTTTTTTCTGATCTTCATTTACAATTAACAAACAAGTGAATCCACGTTCAATAGCTAAGGGAATAATTTTTTTCAATGGTAAATGCCAACGTGCAACAAGTTGAACATTTGGAATAACCTAATCATTTCATATAAGAATGCATAAAAAATAATGTTAATTAAAATAAAATTTATCAGCATTCAAAACGGAAAATCAATTATCTATGCTTTAGTTACTTGAAGACAATTTGACTTTTATTCAAACTGTATAATTGCCAATAACTTACAAAAGCAATGTGTATCGATAATCTTACGGCGGAAATCTATCTCTTTTGTTACCATCAAAGGTATTCAGACTACAGACCAAAATTTTTATAAATTCACAATTTAAAAAGAAAATCACGTCACATACAAAAACAGAAATTTCATAACAATTTAGATCAAGTTCTCTATGGATAAAAGATTATTGATTGGACGATGTCCCAATGTGTTGGTTGTTACATTGTACTCAGTGTTTTTATCTATACACAGTTGATTATCCAATGTAATAATTTAGCATAAGTTTGTACGCTCAACACCAATATACTGCTTATTAATGACAACTAATAAGTACTGTTTAACTCATTCATTGAGTTGAAATAGATAGAGCGTTGTTCGAATTTATGATTTTTAGTCATATGCACTACTAACTGATCAAATTTATTCAAGATTAAGCATGATATTAGAAAAAACTAAATGTATATAAGGTACTTAATGCAAATGCATACAATATTTATCTCCTTCTTAGATAATGTCTTTTTGAATTCGATTTTCTCTATTCTTTCTCACTATCATTCATCTCGTCCTAATGCAGCCTACGAACTTGGCCCAGTGCTACACGTAGATTACAACTAACCTGTAGAACTTTACGTCACTGATTTCAATCTCATGAACATATAAATACAAGGAAAAAGTTAAATTCCATTTTACAACTATTTTTACTGATGCTCGTGCGTTTATAATTCATATTCCAGTGTGTAAATATTTGCTTCATGATCGATTTACGTGAAAGCAGTAAGTGCGTTGATTTCATATCTTCAGAAGTAAATGGGCCTTCATAGGTCACTACATATTGGATCATAGCCACTGCTTGTGTATGGTAGGACAAGCAAGTGGGCAATGTTAATTTTAGGCATAGATTAGAAGACAAAGATGTAATATTGGTTCATGAAACTGGATACACACCAACTACGATGGCTGGGACAAGTGTTACATACACTTAGCTACTGCCGAGAACTGGTGTCAGTGCACGAAATTATTGATTATCAGTCAGTCATCATCAATGTAGAACCTGGAACAGATGTGAGTTGGTCCAGTTTGCATAGTACATTGGCCCAGTTGGTAGTTGTACAAGACTTGGTCAGCATTCTAGCGACAGCCTTGATCAGTGGGCTGCAGGCGTTTAGTAACATGGCTCCGAATTGATCAGTGGTACAAGTGTATTCATTCTTTGTCTATTAGCAGATATAAGGTATTATCACGCACGCTACTAGTTTGACTACTGTAAGATTTATTTCATTGGTTTCATTTTGATATGGTGTTGAAACTTGGACTGATACATATTTGTATCTTTCCTTACGTTGTATATGACTAACTAACCGATAATAACCTTGTAGGCCTTTATAATAACCAAAAAGCTTACTCAGTTTCAAACTTCATAAATATAAATCATTAGAGTTTGGGTATTCTGATGATTGTACACATGCCATCATGATGATTAGCGAAAACACAAAACTAAAGATAGTTTTATCTACTCCCTTCGTAAAATGTTGATGACTAACAAAGTTTGAAATTTATATGCACAAATATTACAGTGTCAGGTAATACTTACCATACTTAATTCTTTACAAAATCCAATTGTCCTAGGACAAACACGATCCGAGTGAGTCAACAAAATTTTAGGAGTAATTTCTCCATTAAAAATAGATGAAAACTCATCCTAGATTGAAAAAATTAAGTATTACTGTTATACAACATACTGTTTCATGCTCAACGACAACTTCCTCATCATCTTTAGGAACAATTGTTTCATCAACGGTTCTAAGTGATTCAAGAGTTTGGGGAATTCCGGCAGGTGCACCACTTTCTTTTCGTTGTTTACGCTTGATTCTACGTTCTTTTGCTTTTTGAATCCTTTCCTTATGTATTATATCTCTAAGATGATGACGTGTGGTTTCTTTACGAATTGGCATGATCAAAAATTGTAATTCTTTCAAATTTTATGTGCAGTTATTCATTTGAGTGTTTTCTGGATGGATATACACAATTTACAAAACACAGAGATGAAAGAAAACTATACATAAAGAATATAATACAAGGAAAAACACATACAGAACTCTGAAAGTCAAATTTCAAATTGATCTGGAATTTGATGGGAAGAGATTGAGAAGCGGAAGTCTTGTAAAAAACCACGACAGCAGTAGTTGGTCTCGATGTGGTCAATTTGAGTATAGGCTTGAGATATAGGAGGACGCTAGGCAGCTTATCGGCGACGGTTGTGCCGACAGTGGTTGTGTACAAGACTGTCGCTACTTTTGGAACATTTATCTGGACTCTGATCATATTCTTGTTTGCGCGAATCTTATCTCAAGTTTCAGTGGCCGACAAATTCATTGTCCTAAGCGGATTGATGGTAGTAAATTGGTTGTAGCTTCTGCTAAAACTAAATAACAAACCGAGCTGGATTCAAGGCAACCAATCGAACCACCGTAAATTATAGATGAACACAGGTTGCAATTGTACAATGCCATGAAAACGGAGATTAAAGTCGCTTAAAATGATTGTGAATATGATTTGTGAGAGCGAGAATGGAAGAGTGCATAAATTTTTCCATTTATAGTAATTATGTAGTTTATTTGAGGGCTGGGATACTAACCAGGTGTCAAAACCAAAGCAGGTAGTTTTTTTAGTGGGCTGCTACCTGAGCCTTTGACAAACAGGTCTAGTCCACAAGGTAGTGAAGCAACGCCAGGGATTACAGTCTCACTGTTGCCGGTGACCAACAGTAGGTTTATACACCATTTGTTTCCTCAAGATCCTGAAGACCATGTATATCACTGGTTTGGAATCAAGGTTTTCTAACTGTATATGGATCCTCCGTATCCACTGATCCGGTTAGGGCAGCTGATATTCGCTTTTCTTCTTCTCAATTTTGTAAGCAACAAGACCGCTACAAGAAGACAGATAGTAAGAATTCCTTGACAATGGTTATATACGCGTGGCTATGTGAGAGCGTTTGGAGATTGAAAGTGGACTCTTGCCAATTTCAGCTATACCAGCGCATTGGGGAGCAATCCAATCTATGCTGCGCCCACATCTTCTTAGCTATGAAATACGTTGATTCTAAAACAACTAGTAGTAATACTCTATGTCCCATAAATTCATTATGAGCTAATGAACACTGACTAGCTTTCATATAATTTTTGATGCTAATCTTTGATGCACTCTAACAAGAGTGATCCAGCCCCTCCATTGCACTAGTTCTGGTCGTATTAATAACTATTTGAAGATCGGGACATCCTAAATGCCAAGGAATACGTTTGGTCTAGGGGAAGACATTTCTGGGACCAGAAGCTATCATATTACAGGGAGATCAACCAATTATAATACGGAAAGTTTTAAAATTGGAATGAAAAAAAGGAGTAGAGAAACGTGAGTAAATTAATTAACTAATTAATTAATTAATATACTAAACCGTCAAACAAACTGAGATGATATGGTAGGTCAGGCTAATAATTATTAACATAAATAAATAATCATAGGTCAATCATGAGGCAGGATACCGTTGTACTAAATAAAGTAAAAACGACTTCATCATTTATTGTGCGATTTGACCACTGTATGATGAAAAAGACGAAAAGCCATGAGGACGTACGTAGTTATCGGGTTTTCTGTTAACAGTGAATACGGAGAAGGCTGTGGTCACATCTTCTGAAAGAGCATTTCAGATAAGACAAACTAGAAGTGACGAAAAGTGACATTTTTTGAGGCTATTTTCTTCTTGATGTGTAACGCATTGAAGATTACCTCATGGGTTCGAATGAAGGGTTTTAGGAAAAAACTGCTTTTCTGCGGTGGTACGGATTACTCACACAATGATTGTGATTTCTCATTCTTCTATAAATCAAAGCAATAGTTCTACGTTGTGGAGTAGTTCTTCAAAAGATTTATTTTTAAACCTTGTAACTACGTTGAGCATTTGTTACTATATTTGTGTCTCTGTTGAGGGGATGCGCAACAACACCGCAGTTCCCAAGATAAAGTCGTGCATATTTTAGGAAGAATTAGCCACAACCCTGGAATAAGTGCCAAGCAGATTATAAAATTTTCATAAGCTTTTGCTCTCCAGTATTGTGACAGTTAGCATGTGACCTTCCCGTAATCAATGAGCCTATACCGGGCCTCAAAAATATGATTGGGAGATTATTATAAAGAAAAAGGGTTAATTCTTGGGTCATATTCCATTGGATGGCCCAACGTTAATTAGCCTTCCTCCGATTTCCCCTATAAAATAAGATCACTCTGGAGCTCCAACGGGTAGTCTTCGCTTTTATTGGCTCTACAAATACTAGCGTGAGTATAAATGAGCCAATACTTTTCAAATGGTTGATGAATACAAGAAAAAGGAGGGATTCCAGAATGCAACTTTATATAACTTAAGACTTGCCAGTTCATATGCGCCTTGTTTAGTTTGGTATAGAACACTGTTTCCCGAGTGACTACAGAACGAGGACAGGAATAGATCAGTCAAATTCATCTTGACAATCTTCACGATGATTCGGATGTTTTAGTGAATTCAATGAGTATGGCGTGTACTGTCGCCTTCTGGTTCAAGCACGTTTTTCAACTGTCCCATGTGGCAATACACAAGTCTTAGTAATGCCATTCCAGGAGTTCGATGAGATTGTTGCTTGTTCCTCTTGAATACGTACCTAGTATAACTGTACGGAGATGTAAGCAATAAGGATAAGTCATTCCTAAGTTTTTAAGGTCTTTGCCACTGGTATGTTAAATAGCATAAGCGTCCTGACTGAGCTTTAAACTGACAGGGGCATTTTGGGTCGACCATTAATTTATTTGCTAACATATTCAGGAAGTAACTTCGATTATTTGTTACCTGAACCTTGCATATGTTTTTAAACGCGAAAGAATACATATTTAAGTTCACATTGCCATGAAAACCGTCTTAGCTGTGCGAATGCTTTCTGCCTCAATTTTGCCGTAATCGTCTGTTCTAGGTGGTTAGTTGCTAGAAAACATTACTAGAAATCTCTTTTTTAACCACCCACTAATAAGACTAGTAAGCCTTATTAAATGTGATGACAAAACATGCCTGGGAAAATCACACATGGTTGCTTTGTTAACCTGACTGAAACAAAGGCATAGAACATTCTTCCCTGAGAAGAGCCACTCGCTTGTGACCGGAATTAATATTATTATGGAGTAGCAATCTTTCGCATATAGTCCAGGGTTTTGTAAAGTTTTCCGAATGACCAGAGGTAATGTGCAAGAAAAAACAACAATCATCACGAGCCGTAGCACCCATTTAAGAAAAAAAGGTCTTATATGTCCAGTTTGCACGCATGTGAACGCGGATTAACCTGTAACGAGAAAGTGACCACCTTTTTACGGAACTAATTACACTTTTTCTAAAATGGTAGTTTGCAACGTGGAACTATATGTGAATGGACTTAAACACTAACTAAAATTGTTCACAACATATGCCATTAACTCAAAAGCTGACTAAACGTGCAAAACCCACCTTCGACTGACACTTTCAAATGAGGGGGCAAGGACATTAATTCAACTCCCAATATCCAATATCTTTTCACGAGCTAGTGTAAACCAGTTGATTTCTTTGATTCAGGACAATAAGGTTTCTGGATACCAACAGCTATCACACCAATAGCCCGGAGATCAGTTAACTGCATTATGTAGAATAATAAGGAGAAAGCTCTAATGCTAATAAGAGTAGGACTTCAGGACTAAGTGATTAAGTAGATAATCTAGTTTATTAATTGGTAGTAAAGATTGTGCGAGAGGACCTAAGTGTAAGCAAGGGGGAGGAAACAGAGAAAATAAACGATCAAGATTAGTTTGGCAATCTAGGGGAGATTGCAATAATAACAACTAGCAGGTTTCGAGACATGCATCAAGCACTGATTGTCCGCGAGGGAGATGATAATCCGTATGTGAGTACGTGATTATCAAGTCTCTTCTTAAAGCTGCCCATTGAGGGAGCTGTGGTCACGTCATCTGGGAGAGCATTGCAACAACTCTCAATGAGAAAAAGTGTGCACGAAACTGAGTATTCCCTCTTTGATGGGCAATTTTTCGAGGATTACCTGGAAGAGAGTGGTAGTGATTCATCGGCAGTTTGCTCACACTGGGGCAGCTTTGGCGTGTCTGTTATGTCGTACGCCGTAGTCCGATCACTTACGACACTCCTGCCGCTTAGTGATTTAGTATATCCTCATAGGTTTTATTTTTCAACCCTATCACCCATTTAGTAGCTGGTCTCTTAACTCGATCCACTGAACTCTTAAACTGTTGTATTTTCTTAAATTCTACTCGGGATTTCAAAGCACACAAGTTTCTTTCATTCCCTAGTTTTTCATGGATACGAATATTACGAGTGAAAGTATAATTGCTCCTTTACTCCACATCATTCAAAGTAAGGCAGGCATTGTTGACACAAATTTTGATAAACATTTCCAAAAAGTTTCGGTATCTACGCTAATCAGTTTTAAGTATTTCTGTATATTTGTCTAGTTTGCTGGCACTAAAACCCTGTTTTGTAAAAAATATGTATTACAAATATGGGAAGATATTGGGCCAGCAAACTTCAGACGTAAGACCATTTCGACAAATCATTTTAGCCAAAATAACCACCCCGCACAAAAATAAATAGTGCGATGGACGATTGCGTCAACTTGTTAATGTGGTAGGGCAACTTGAAATGATATACATACGTACGAATTTCTACGCTGTAACTGACTGAATCCACACGCACACTATCCTCGTCTCATTCCACAACAGTGCCATAGAATAACTCGTTACATCTGCTGGTCGGATTCTAAAAATAACCAGAACCTCTAGGGTTTCTTCCATTCAGCAGAAACCTTAATCAACCCGAAACCAAATTACAGACCTCTGGAATACAACCACAAGCCTACTAAATCCTCAGCACAATCGCAAACAATCAAAAACTACTCTACAATGCCGATCTAGAAAGAGATGTCTCTAGACTGCGTGAAAAAAGACAACTTGAATCGGTTTTGACACTACAGTACCTATGATCAATCTTCTGAAAAGTGCAGTCTTCCTTTTCCCTGAATCTTCCGTCACAAACATTCGGGTTAAACCCTCTGCTGAGACGCGTTAACGGCAACTTAGACGTTTGTAGTTTTGCCGTGAATTTAGTTTCATAAATAGATGCTTAGGAGTCCTCCAACATAAGATTGACTTTTTCCACGAATCTACCGATATTTTAAATAGTACTGCGTCTAAAACTGTGTAATGTCTACCGTTTGTTTTGCACCACCTTTTTTTGTTAATGTTTATTGTAGCACTTGCCCTGCATTTCAGATAAAACTCTATATGTAGTCCTGTTCCGAATACATAAAATATCCACTAAGCTGGCGAGATATTTATATTCATCTGTAAAACGACTTTCACTTCTTTTTGTCGC